GTTCTGCTTACAAATAAGATCTCATTTTAATATAAATGTTAAGTATTAGAACTGCATGTTTTCCCTCTCAATATAAATTCACACGCTTACTAAAATCAGATGCTATCCTGACCTCTAAATAAAATGACTGAATGGGACATTGAATGCCACTGATTTTCATTCTACTGTCCTTGCCACTCTTATCTGCCAAAATCCTGCTGAGGTGAACAGTATCGCTGCTCTGCCACCCATCAGCTCAGAGGGCACTGCTCAGTCTAATGGTAATGTAAGGTCAGGAGCCTATAACACACACAACGTTTTCTGACAGTAAAAAGGAACACCACCACAATATAGCAGTGACTATATCATGAAATGAAATGAAATAATGTATTACCATAATACATGTCCAAATTAAATAAAATTAAAATTAAAAATACTAGGGATGCACGATATATCGGCCACCATATCGGTATCGGCCAAAATTTTCATATCGGTGCATCCCTAAAAAATACCAGTAGATAAAACAGCATAGCAATGGTATCATATATGAATAATTTTCATATTCATATCAATGTACATCTAAAAAGAACAAATCTGTTATCTTTGTTTTTCTACTTTACATTATACCATTTTGATGCTCAATTTCACTTCAAGCATGTAAAAGTTGACCATCACACTTTATCATTCATCAGTTATTACATTTAAATAATCATTGTTCTCTGTATTGACCAAAGTGATTATGGCGTTTTCAGAATCCTGCATGCTATAAATCAATCTAAGAGCCCAGTGGATGGCTGTAAATGTTGCTTATATTCAGCACTCTCCAATATTTCATTCAACCTAAAACAGCTACAGAAAAGGAGTGTGAAAATGACTAATGTTGGAACTGTTTAACCTACAGCAGCCTGGTGGAATGTGGACAATAGCACCCTGGGTCTGCTTTCATTAATTCATTCAAAGGGCTTTTTCCTCAACTTGTGTGTCCAGCTACTAGTCCAGCTACTGTATCTGCTTTAACAGGGTATATACTGTATATACAGTATATATATATATATAGAGAGAGAGAGAGAGAGAGAGAGAGCGAGAGAGAGAGAGAGAGCTCAACCAGCATGGAACTTCTGCTTGGAGCACGGGAGGGTACGGCAGGGAACTGTGTCGATTGAATGGGGAATTTTTGTATGTGTGTGAGAGCGAGCAAGAGGGAGGGAGAGAAAAAGAGAAAGTGGCAACAGAGAGTGGTGGGTTTGCTCTTTGGGAAAGGAGCCAATCCAATTACAGGCAGCAGTGCAAGCCCGGTTTCTTCAGCTGAGCTAAATTTCACATTTCATCAGTCTCTTCCCTTCTCTCACTGCTGCTGTGCTACACTTTCTCCCTCTTTCTCTCATTCCCTCCACCTCCTCTTGCAGGTGGAGGACAGGAACAGGCAGATCATGCAACAGACTCCATTCTTCAAAGATGAGGCGCAACCACTCACCCCTGTACAACAATATATCACCTATAGAGCATCAAAATCTTGTAACATCAGCATGGCCGCAACTAGGGCTAGGTCATATAGCTAAAAGGAAATTATACTTTTAAAATTGTTAATTAAAAAATTGATATATTGATATATAAAAATGTTGTTATTATTATTATTATAAAATTTGAACTATTTAATAAAAATAACAAAATACACACACACACATACATATATATGAATGTCTCAAAAAATACATTCTTCTTATTACCGGTATTACATTTTTCAAATTGCTATAGAAATTCTACATAGAAAATGTCTTGATTGTAGTATACAAGTAAAATACAGTAAAAAATCTGGTTAAAAATAATATTTTTTTCCATTTCTTTTTCAATTAATCATTTAATATTATATTAAAATATATTGTATATTTATTTTATTATTTTTGAATATTTAAACATTTTATATGCACCAGTATAATACATAGTAATTCAAAGTTTCATTTTTTAACTACATTAGATTCATATTTACATAATATTTTTTCATTAGACATTTAATATGCAAAAAATGCCACAAGGAGACGCAAGCAAATCATTGAATCAGTGGTTTGTTTGATTAAATGGACAGTTGATTCATTTAAATTAATTGAACTAACAAGCTCCAGTGCCAGTTTTGCTCTGAAATCAGTGTATTAAAACATATTTTCAAACATTTCAAAACAAACTACATGGTCAATAGGAATCTTTGTGGCCAAATAAAAATCACTGCAATATCCATGATGCTGTTTAATTTGATATCACCAACAATCTCATAGAAAACATTTGGTGAATGTTCAATAAATATCCAAATTATCATCCAGCCCTAGCTGGAACACAAAAGCCATATACTCAAGAGTTGCACAGCAGGGAAACAGGCTCATGGACACAAAACAAAGTATCTCACAAATCCCAGCTTCCTGAGTTCTCAAGGCTCGTCTGTGTATTCTCCAAGAGACACACTTTTTGGGGCTGTGATAGCTCCCTAACCTTTCCAAAACACACAAGCTCTCATAAGGCCGTCTCATCCTCTTCCTCGACACTGTTACGCCTTGTGCAGATGTGACTGAATTCTCAGGGTTTGCAGAGACTATCGCAAGACACTCAGTATTTCCATCTAGGGTAATACCTCTCTAATTCCACCATATCGGTATGTTTCATTCTCCGTTCTGCCCACTAGGGCGGCGATATGAGAATCCAAGCAAGCTTGAGGCTAGAAAAACATGCCACGGCAGCACTTCTAAGAGCACAGCGCTGTTGGCCTAATTTAATTTCACCAACCGCGAGGAGAAAAAAATAACATTAATTAATAAGCCACTAAAACAAGAGGATTACAGAGAGCGAATGCCTCCGATGCCACTTCCTGATTGCAGTGCCTATTCAATTATAAATTAATTAATCAAGGCGCAAAACACAATTTGGACGTTGCCGTGCTACCGGCATGAAACAAACACTCGGTTTGACACTTTGACATTGTCCGCTCTCCCTTGCGTCTGGGAAGGCAGCTGTTATTCGTGTGTGTTTGTAGGGGGGCAGGTGGGAACGAGGGACAAAACCAATGTTTGTAGAGCAGGTCTCTCTCTGTCTTCATCCCTTTGGTGTCTCCTGCAGCTGCTGTGGGGTGAGGACATGCCTGTTCCTGCTCGTCTAACAGGGTCTGGCCTGTCACTCAACGCTATCGTGCCCCAAAGTAGGCATGAGTCCCAAAAGCAGCTGACGGCTTCCCCAAATGACCCTTGTCATTTTCATAATTGCCTACTGCAGGTAGTCTCATCTTGCTAATAACCACAGCAGTTCCATTAGCCACATGCTAACATGTCAACACTTAATGAACTGGATGCTCAACAAAGGGCAAACTTTTTGAACCACACAAATAGATCTGTAAAGTCAACATGAAATCAAAATTACTTTCTCAAAACACTTATTGGATTAATCGTGCACATTTCAGTTAATGTTTATGTAGGGTGACCATACGTGCCATTTTCCCAGGACGCGTCCTGGTCAGGATTTCTATATTGCCTAAAATATCTAGGTTTTGGCTTTGTTTGCATGTGCAGACCGATCGGTGTATGACATCAAAGTACCTCAAGAGCATTTTAAAAGCATAAGGAACCGTCTGTATGGTATTTTGATGTCATACACCAATTGGTCTGCACACGCAAACAAAGCCAAAACCTAGACATGTCCTGGGAAAATGGCACGTATGGTCACCCTAGTTTATGTCAGTATTGTTATTGTTAACTAAAATAATTTGCAAATCCATTTCAGTAATTGAAATAAAGCTGCAATAAAATATTAAATTTGTATGAAAGTGAAGTGTTGCTTTGGCAATAAATAAATAAGTTTAAGTACTAAAATGACTAAAACTAAAACTGAAATAAATATAAAGCTTTTTAGAAATATAAAAAAAATTAAAATGCCAAAACTTAAAATTACTAAAACTTAAACTAAAATTAAAATGGAAATGTAAAAGATATACAGTTATAATTCAAAACATTAATAAATACTATAATAATATAAATAATACTAAAATAAAATTGGTTAATGTAGAAAAAAAAATGTTTTCATAATCCTAAATCAAAAAGGCCAAACTGTCTCTGGCTCAGAAACTATTTTTCTTTTTGGCTGATGACATCTAGAGCAGAAACAAATATATCCTATTAGCTAAAATGTTATTTAGTTATTGTTTTAGGCTTATGTTGTACTGTAGGTAACACAGCCTTTCTAAAATTGTGTCAATAGTTAGCACAGTAATTAGGGATGCACCGATATGAAAATTTTGGCCGATAACGATATGTTTATTATTCTTTATTTTTGAAAGCCAATAACCGATATGTTGGCCTATAAATCTACAGTAATTTATGTCTACGTTTTTAGATAAATAAAATTATCTGTATATATATAAATCTGTTTCTTGTTAAATATAGCACATCTAATGGGTAGTGAAAGGCGTTTCATGTTGACTTAAGTGATAGAAGTTGAGTGATGGTTTCTCGTCTATTGCTGCCATTACCAACCAAAAAGGTACATCTAACACCACATTTTCTCTTTATGCCCTTTATCTGAAAGAGATTATAATAACGCATATGATAACCCTAACAGTGTCTGGCTCTTCTGTCTAACATCCTTTCCATGGGTTTGGCTGAGAAGACATTCTATTAAAATTAATAGACTAGGGAGGCAGACAGGAACCCCTGAGGTCGCTTTAAGCTGCCCATTATGGTCGGGAAAGTGAACAGAACCAGAAGAATCCTACAAAAAAGTATTAAATATTTAGTCAAAAAGTTTCTGGTTCCCTCTTTTCCATCTCTACTTTTAAATGAGGCCAGTAGAGCACTTCAAAGCAGTGCTCCAGAAGACACCATTAATAACTAACATGACACACTGTTTGCGACCAAAAATGTTTGCCTGTACGTGAGGTGAGAGGTCTACAACTTCTCCATTTAACTCAAACACGTCTAACTCTGTACACATCTCAGATTCTCAGCACAACGTTCCAAGACAAAAAACCCATCTGCGACAAGACTCACCTTTTTCAGTCGTCCACTCTTGGTGCCAACAAAAGCCACACAGTAGCCATTATAGATGTAGGACGTCACCGAGGTCATGCGATCACGGCTTTCTGTATAAAGTGTGTGTCCGGTCACCAGCTGAGAGCCGCCAAGGGGCTGGTTGATGTCCAAACCGCAGAAGGAGTCATCAATAGGGACAGGCTACAGGAGGAGAAAGGTCAACCGAGAGTCAGCAGTTTGCTTTGAATCTAAAAGTCAAGGTGAGTTCGGTTGTTTATACAGACATCAGTTAGAGGGTGAAAAGGTTGCACTGATTTTAATACAGGCAAGCACTTTGTAAGCAAATCACATTAACCGATCCAACGTCAGCTGGTTGTTTTGATGTCAAGTGAGGGTAAGCAATGGATCAGGGAACACTACAGGTCAATTTGCACCATTTTTAGTGCAAATAAATAAATAAAATCAAAAACTGTTAAGACAAAATTATGGATTTTTACAACCACTCTCACACAAAAAATACTGTCTGAAATGTTGTGCTGTGATGATTTGTAACTTGTTTTATTAGTAGTAGTATTTTTTTTTTACTGTCTACCAAAAAAAAATCAATGTAGGTATTTGGGACTACTGTAAAATATATATATTTCAATGGCTTTAAGATAAAACCTACACACTACCACTTGAAAGGTTATTTGTGCATTTTAATTCATTTATTTTTTAATAAAATGTTTTTTAGCAAGGATGCATTAAATTGATCAAAAGTTACAGTAACGTTGCAAAATATTTCTATTTCAAATAAATGCTGTTCTTCTGGACTTCATCAATGAATCCTTAAAAAAATGTCATGGTGTTCACAAAGATTTTAAGCAGCACAACTTTGATAATAAACATCTAAATTTCTTTCATGGGCAGAAAATCTGCATATTAGAATGATTTCTGAAGGATCATGTGACAGAAGACGGGAGTAATGGCTGCTGAAAATTCAGCTTTGCATCAAAAGAATACAGTAAATTACTTTCTAAAATGTATTAAAATTGAAAACAGTTATTTTAAATTGTTTTTCATTGAAACAGTAAAAACTGTTTGTTACTGTAATTTTAATCAAATAAATGCAGACTTGGTGAGCATAAGAGACTTCTTTAAAAATATTTTAAAAAATCTTACGGACCCTATACTTTTGAACAGTAGTGTATATTCACTATGAAATTTTCCAAGACTTTTCCAAGCATGGAAATCACTGTTTAAAAATTCTCTGACATTTACAGGTTTTACGGTTAGCGTGGGATTCAGTTTTACTAGTGTATTACACTATCAAGTGATGCCCAACCAGCTGGTAGTTTGCATTTGCAGTGAAGGCCAGAGAATACGGACTCATGTTCAGTTTCTGAGGGGAGACAGTAACCGGACCACTGAGTGTGGTTTCCCCAGCTAGATGCTTGGTTTTCATGTTCCCGCTCTGCTCTGGTGAGTCCTGCCTGGCTCCCTGACTGCCTCATTACCCTGTGCTATAAGAATAGTGTAGCTCACCCCGGCTGGGGACAAAAGCACGTTCACACACACTTACACACCACACCAGCCGAAAACAACACCTATACAGATGAGACCAGGGCTAAAACCATAAGCACACAGTCTCTAATTCTGATCTAAATGATCTAGTCAGGGACAGAGTGTTTCTATAAGTTCAGGCACTTCTTTGTTGCAATTGATTTTTTTATTAAAACTAACAAATTGTAACATTTTTCTTTTAAAAACTTTTTACCACGCCACCTTTATTTCTGCTATTTTCTAGATGCAGACTTTCAATCTTATACGATTAAAATGCATAAAATGAGCATATAAATAAATAAATACTTTCAATCTTTATATATTTATTTATTACAACTGTCCCTCATTTCCATCTTTTAAGTAAATATGAATATCAAAATATTTTAGTGTGTATTTTCAATTAAGTTATAATTTTGTCAAATTATAATTTTTATTTATTTATTTACCTAATTTGAATTGACAAATTTAATTTTCGATACCGAATGCTGCTAAACATCATTTAAGATGTGGTGGAAATGACTCTTGGAAATGACTTTCAGAAAATGTACAGAATCCTCTGGTTCTCCATGTATATCCACTTTTGGACACTGTTAGTAGACAAACTAGTCAGAGTGTGAAATATGTGTCCACAGGGCCAAAAGAAACACCATATTTTTCCTTCGCTCACTTTCTATTGCTCTCTGCTTGTATCTCCCCCTCTCTCTCAGACACACACATACACACCACCTTAAACTAAAGAGATTGAAGCTTATAAACATTTACAATCTAATGGGAGGGCCTATGGTCCATTTTTCATGCCACATGCATGCATGGGCCACTATCAATCCTCATTTGAGTTTTGGCGGCGAGTTACAACACTCAGCGGCATTTAGATTCAGGTCATCGGAGTTTGTGACTGACACTGGCCTCAAAGTGCCATGTAGAGTAAGAGAGATGGATACTGTGCGCTCGGTCATGATGCTGAACGCAGCACTGCTCGTCCCCAACACTCCGCAGCCCTTTAATATCAGCCTGCTCGACTACAGGCTCACGCTATAAAATCTTTACTGCCTCCCAGCCCTTCACAAGCTGGGGAACAGCAATAAAGCAGGGATGTAAATGCCTCATACTCGGCAGATCTCGTTCCAGCCCTTCTTCATCATGTTTTCTTTTATTTTTCAATCCAAAAATAACCTCCTTAGAGATTTTCAGATCTGTTCCTCAAATACAGTTGGCCTTTGACTACATTATTTAAATATGTTTGTATGCAATGTCCTTTTTAGTCAGTCCACTCTGTATTCATCTTGGTAATGCCCTAGGGCAGCTATATTCTGGTCTTGCCAATCTTATGCTAATTTAGAGAAAAGGATTCATTCTACATCTTATGTACTTCAATGGGGAAAGATCAAAATTTCCCAAATTGATGATGAAATCTGGCAAAGATGGTATCATAAATGTTGCTACTTTAAATGAGCTAAAGTAGCAAATGTTACATTTCTAAATTTATAGAATTTAACCAATCAATATGATTATTAACTTGAATTAATTGATACATTTTATATATGTTGTTAAAAAAAAATCTTACACTGAGTGTGAGCTTTTTAACCTTCAGCGCCAAAGTTTGCTTCCCTTGTGCTCTTTGTTATGGAACCTATCTAAAGTGCCTGATTAGATATTCACATGCAACGCTTATGCTCATCACTGGAACCCATTTCCTATTACTGCTGTTTCAGGTAGGAGGTTATTGTTCCATACACAAATCTGGAAAAAGGGTCGCTACTTTGGAAGCCACCTGATCAAAAGAGTGTCCTCCTTAGGTCAGTGCTCAAACTAGCACTGCGATAGGCTTGATCAGGCAGCCTGATGAAACGTAACACCGGCTGAATGAGTGAATAGCATCAAAGGGCTGCATGTAAAGCAGCGAGCAGGATGGCCAGGCAGGAAGACAGTTGCAAGCTGGGCTCTGTGATAAATCTTTCATTCAGTCTTCTCGGCTTATGACTTCTCTTCCTATCACCCTGTGTGAAAGTTTCACTTTCTCTGTGATTCAGCAGAGACACTGAAGCCGAAGGAACTAGACCAAAGTCAGAGGACATGTTTCCAGTAATCAAAAATAGCCTGAAATAACTGACAGGAAATTAAACAAAAACATCATGGTAGGGGATTTCTAGCAGTATTTTTAAGGTAAAATGAGATCTAATAGCAAATGAAAACGTCTGAGGAGGATTATTTTACTGTAAAAATATTTTCATACTCCTACTGGTCATGAAAAGGGAGTAAACAAAAAGCTTGGTGGCAGCAAGAGGATGGTGAGTTGTGGCGTTTTATTCATGTGGGCTCACAGACTTCGCTATGCTAATCGTTAAAGATCTACCTGCATAATACCACAGATTTATTGAACGGCATTGACTGAGGAGTGTTTACAGAACATATATCTTCATATTTTAATATCTCAGACCTCCTCCTTAGTCAATCCTGACACTCCTCTAGTACCAGAAGAGAAGACGCAAGAGGTTTCTAGTGCAATGTTTTTAATGAGGCCTAGAAAAACATGGAGGAGGGCTGGCTGACATCATAAGCCACTGAAGGCCCCCCTGGGGTCAGACAGGGGATCCTCTAGGGTCCTTAATGGGGCCAGAGTGGAGTCTGCTACTATGAAGACCACCCTGCTCAGACACTCAATAATGTTTTCCTCAGAGTGACAATCACCTCTGACATCATGCTAATGGCGAATTTACTGAAGCTAATAAAGAATGCCCTGGAGGAAACCACATAGCAATAGTTTGTCATTAAGACTCTCTCTTAAATTTCACGTACACAGATGCAAAACAATCAATGACAGCTAGAGTTGGGTATCGAGATCCAGTTCCATTTTAGAACCATTTCAATTTCTGTACCTGAAATTTGTTCAGTTGTTTTTTTTTAAATATATTTTTATTATTATCTTTTTGGAATCGAAACTAGGAATCAATAAGAATCAGAATCGAAAAATTTCAAATGATACTCAACCCTACTGACAGCCATAAAACAATACACACATTCATATTTATATTTATATAAGCATCAACACTTGTACATAACTTGTAAATAAACGTACACACAGAGAATTATTATAATTCAATTTGTTTACACCCCCAGTTAAACAGCAAAAACTCTGAGGACTGTGATTTTTTTGGAGCAAGACTAGTAAAGAACAAAGAAAACGCAAGAGTAATTTCATGTGGTCTTTTGTGTGACATCCTGTGACTTCCTGCTTTATTTATTAAATTTGTTCTGGAGAGGAATATTACCACTTTGACATGACACCATTTACCTAAACTTCAATGAAGCCACTCATCCTATCAGCGCTAAACAATTACCCATAATTACAGATGGATAAAGAATATTTTGAAAAAAACAATTTACAATTATAAAAACAAGTTGAAAGGATTAGTCTAAAATTAATTTCATGGGATTTGTTGGGGTGTGCTTTCATGCTTAGACTAACCCTAACTCTGCCTGACATTCAATCCTGTAGGTTGCAATGTTCAACAGGATTGCTTGGATAGTATCCTGTTACACTCTTAAGAATGAAATATGGATATGCAAGAACAACAACCAGCAACATAAACATTATGATGCAGATCCTATCTTTATTCCAAAGAAAACATAAAATTTGTAACAATTCCCCATCTGACTGTTTTGATCTTCTGAGGTTTTCTAGTGAGCAAAAGCAGGCATGGGAACTGTCAGTTTCTTAGAGGGCAAAAAATGTATATTGCGCCAAGAGAACATCATTCAAAGGCAGAGAACTTGAAATAAAGGTCTTAAATAAGCCATGCACACAACAAGCTCAATTAAAGTAGTACAATTTGTAAAGAGCTTCCATGATTAGGGTTTCAGATACTACATCTAACAATGCTTCAAATTCAAAGCTGGTTTAACAAGCTAATTAGTAAGCTAGCTGCTGTGGCTAGTAATAACAAAAAGGTTTCTTACCGCTTTGGTACAAGGTACATCCTTTCCCAACAGCCAGTTGAGCTCCAAGTTCCCCTCTCCCTGATAGCAGGACTGATTTTGATCTTCTGAGGTTTTCTAGTGAGCAAAAGCAGGCATGGGAACTGTCAGTTTCTTAGAGGGCAAAAAAATGTATATTGCGCCAAGAGAACATCATTCAAAGGCAGAGAACTTGAAATAAAGGTCTTAAATAAGCCATGCACACAACAAGCTCAATTAAAGTAGTACAATTTGTAAAGAGCTTCCATGATTAGGGTTTCAGATACTACATCTAACAATGCTTCAAATTCAAAGCTGGTTTAACAAGCTAATTAGTAAGCTAGCTGCTGTGGCTAGTAATAACAAAAAGGTTTCTTACCGCTTTGGTACAAGGTACATCCTTTCCCAACAGCCAGTTGAGCTCCAAGTTCCCCTCTCCCTGATAGCAGGACTGCATTCGCTCCTTGATCCGTGCATTGATGTCCCGAATGCTGAAGACACAGAGGGCTGAGTCATCAGGTGGATGGTGGTACTGTTTTTGACCTTTGGAAAAGACAGCAAAGAGGACATCATCTTGAGCGCTAATGTTGAGGGATGCCGCAAGCACTCGTCCAGGTTTGCCCAGGTAGGCCGCCTGCAGAAGGCGGTACTCAATTCTGTTTCGGACACAACCAATAGGCAATGACACATAGGAGTGGAATTTATGGTCATCTTTGCAGAGTCGGACGATTCGAGAGGTGTAAAACAGGTCGTTTGAGGGCCCGCTGGAAGACAAGCTGTTCTCGGGCGTCTCCGGTTGCACGGTCAGAAAGTAGACGAAATTGCCGCTGGCAAAGCCATAGATGTAGTAGATGTCGAAATGAGAGACCAATGCCAGGGTGTCGGAGGGAATCTTGATGAGAGATGAAACAAAGTCAGTGTGTAGCTCATAGTCCAGCATAGCTGAAGACTCCGGATCACGAGGAAGCTTCCGGCTAGAGATGGTTGGAAAGTAGTCTTGCTTCCCATCCACAGCTGTACCAATGAAGAGGGTCCCATCCTTACCCTGTGAGGGCACAATGACTCCATACATAGTGCCCATCTGGTTGACACTGGAGAGGTAGTGCTCTTTTTTGTGAGACGGCTCCACCAGAATGAAGAGGTCATCCAACCGTAGCAGTTTGCAGACACCTTGGTAGAGGCTTCCGCAGGCAAGTAGTCGGTTCTGAGAGTAGTCGATAAGTAAAAGTTTGTTGATGTTGTTGGTAGAAACCAATGGTTCAGAGCAAGGCTGAACGATAAGTGGAGGGTAGCAGGCCTTGTTGTCATCTTCTGGACCAGTATCATGGGATACTAATAATGTCAGGTTTCCCGATAACTTGTAGACACGGTTGACAGCACCAATGTAGAGTGCTCCTGTCGTCTTGTGAACTGTCATGTGATTGAAGGCCCATTCTCGTCGCTCAGGGTGAAACGTTGTAAAGGACTGTTCACAACACACTCCAGGCAAGATTAAGACTAACAACCAGCATGTAAAGGACAATTTGGAACCATGTCCAGGGCTTTGTTTCAAAGTCCTCTTTGAATCCTGCTGTCCCTCCATGGTCCGAGGGACCCAACAGGTTAGAAAATTAAGAGTTTAAAGAAGTATCAGAAGGCTCAATCTTCGTCCTCGTAATCCAAAGGCTAACTCTATGGTGCAGCTCCTCACCAGCGTCTCCGCATGTTTCTGAAAGAGAGAAGAGCAAGAGTAATGAGTACATAAATCAGCATCAGAACATCTAGACTCGCAAAAGGAAACCGACAATGGAAATTGCACCTCATTTACTAAACCAAGGCCCTCTGCATCCTTTGAAGGAATGTGTCAACTAACCCAAGAGGAGGGGGCGGCTTCTCTAAGGGACAATGGCAGGAAAGGTTTATCTTCACATTCCAAAGGAGTTGTTGGGCAGGATTACACAACGCAGGAAGGAGAGGCACATCGTAGCAACGGAAATTAGCATGACCTGAGTCACTCTGCATGCTGGTTCTCTGAGACAGCGGTTTCTAAGAATGGCGTTCAGTCAGAGCTCTCTAAAGAAGTGCCTGTTTTGTCAATTACAAGAGCTAACATCAAAAAGAAAGAAAGAAGGTAACTGTAGCAAAAGTATTTCTGAATAGGTCTGACAAATCTTTTTTTAAATTATTCTTCTTTTAGCTGCAGAACCATTTGATTTTTTCCCTAAAACATTTTTTGAGTAATGCATTTATGTCAAGAAAAGTGCACTTAAAGGGTTAGTTCACCCAGAAATGAAAATTAGGCTGCGTTTTACTCACCCCCGATGCATCCTAGGTGTATATGACTTTCTTCTTTCAGACAAATCCAGTCGGAGTTATATAAAAAATTCTACACTTTTATTCTTTCTTGTTTGTTGCTTGATAAAAATTTTTTTAAAAATCGGAAATCGGTATCGGAATCGGCCAGTTTGCTTGTAAAAAATCGGTATCGGAATCGGCTATGAAAAATCATGACCATGCATCACTAATCGAAATCCTCCGACATTCTTCTTTACAAATCCTTGTTTTGTACTTCTAATTAGTGACCGTTGTTTTGTTTCGATCTCTCCGCGTGCGTCACTTCTGAGTGGCGCAAGCGCAAAGCTGACCTCATACGTAATTCCCCCGGAACTGCTTCTGTTACAACAGTGAGCGCAAGCTAGATTCAAGTGATTATTACGTTTTGAATATGGATATTTTTCTTACAAAACGCATCGATTCGCTACAGGAGGCCTTTAAATATCAAAGATACATTTTAATATAACTCCCACTGGATTCGTCTGAAAGAAGAAAGTCAGGTGAGTAAAACGCAGCCTAATTTTTTTTTTGGGTGAACTATCCTTTTAAGAGCTTTCCTTTATGACAAAACATTATCATCACCCTCTCATTTTTTTTGACATTTGCTTCTTCTTTATTATCTACACTTCCCAACCTTGTTTGTCAGTCTTGACAATGAGAAAAGTACAATGAGAAAAAAAGCAATTTATGAAATAGCAGTTTGCAAAGGCCGGTATAGTGCCGTCTCCCCCATATGATAAATCAAAAGGGGCCCCCTTTCTTCTGCATTTATCCCAGGGAGTTAATTATCCAATCCACTGCACGAGGGAGGCCTGGATCTTACTACCACAACAAAGTGTGAACAAATTTGGTGCCGGTTCCACGCACCCTGTTTTTACTATCTGCTCTGTAAGGGGGCTGTTTAACAGGATCTGAATCCATTAATTATGCTTTCCAATTCTGTTCTTCTGTTTTTCTCTCTAAACGAATAAGGCAGCCATTGGAGATATACAATCTACACTGTCTGAACACATTCACCATATTTCCGCTCCTATTTTTTCCTTCCATTTGATTTGGATGCATTTTTAGTGCTAGGTGGTCCAATAGGGCTAACAAACAAAGAATCACATATGATTAAGCAATGCAGTCCAACAATTGTAATTAGCTTAAACATGGTGATGAATTTAAGTGAACAGGGCTTTGCTAATGTGCTCAAACATGTCAAGATATAGAAGTCTCTTCGTGATTTGCATGTAGAGGCTAAAGGGACAAAGTGATCAAAGGTAAACAACATGTGCAGAATTATAAACAGCACTTTGCTTACATATAACAGTGCTAATATCCTAGCTAAGCTGTCCTCCTTAGCATACATGTGTACTAGCTCAGTTTTGAGGTGCAATATATTAGCATGGCTGTAAAGGGAGTTGTAAAACCCAGTCCTAGGGTTGGTTTTGTCCTTCACGCTGCTCTTTTGTGTGACTTTGCACACGCTGGAGGTGCAAGGCACATTCCCCTGGAGGTGTTATCTGGCATCTGCAGAGCAAGCAACTTTCTGCAGCCTTCTGGCTTTTAGGCCTCACCTTCACGAGCACAATCACCTCTTCTCTCCAACTGTAAAACATCACTGGATTTATCTTGTATGATTTTGCTCCCTTAACTACCACCTCCCTTCTCTTTTCTTCCTTTTCCCTACCCCTTTTCCCCCCTGTTCCCTGCTGACTGCTGGCTCGGAGCAAGTGCGCTTCTCTCTTTTTATGTCATAGCGACAGCTGCACTGAAGAGGGGACCGAATGGTGTAAATAATGACTGTTCAAAGTTTAGCAGCAGTGCTGTCAGGAACAGAAGCAATAGGGGCTTTGTTTATTATGCTTTGTGTTTTTCCCCTCTTTTCTGCATCGCCTGACAGGACTCTGCTTATTATGCAGCCTGGCCAAAGAACTGAATAGATGAGACCGATTCGCCTCTTAGCTTCCTTTTATTGTTTGAAGTCAGTCCTTTACACTTGGCTCTCGGAAGAGATTACCATGTCAATGTTTGCACCTGTGAATCATGGGTTCGTCACACCAGAGCCTATAGCGATAATGGCGCGATTTAGGCAGGTTTGTCAGAACAAGCATCTGTATTGTGGAGACAACAGCACGGGCATTTTGGGAAGAGCTGTATTTCACCATGACAGTGATTCACATCCATACAGTGCACCAATGGAAAGGTAACAGTTGCCTCATTAGCATTTCCATTATGACTTCACAATAGGCTTGCCGCGATAGAAGGTGCTGACGGTGATACCATTGTTAAGCCGCAACACCGGTTACGTCACTTGCCCACCACGGCACCAACCCCCACCGTCGTTTTGATTTTTTTATAGTCATAAAAATCATTTAGTTGTAAAATAACAGACACTACAATTAATTAAAAACTGAACGTGGCTGCTCAATGCAGCATGCCGAACGACAGTCGCATCACAGATCAGATTTCATTTATCCAGTGAGGAGAGTGAGTCGAGCTGACTGACAGGAGGATTGGGGTGAGACAGACAAGACGATCGCGGATGATTTCGTTTCGAAACGAAATGCGAAAGCGCCTATTTGGCAGTATTTTGGATTTTGAAAAGCCTGTTGACTTCTGCCGTTTATCTAAGGTGATTTTGGAAGTTTTTTTTTAAACATTCGTTTCTTATTTAATTGGTTCCACAATGTTTTGCCGATTTTTACTTTATTTAAACTTTGTGTAATTTATTTATTTTATTTGACATCAAGGTGTATGCCGTGCCTCCAAGCTTTCTTATTCGTTTTGCTAATTAACTTTCTACGTTTCTTATTTATTTGGTAATATATTATACATGTTTACTTATTTCCAGTTTATTTGGTTATATATTATACATGTTTACTTATTTCCAGTTTTGTATAGGCTACCTAGTTAAACTTTATGTAAGTTATTAGTTATTTTATATTAGGCACAGCCTGCCCTATAGCATGGTGTATTTTTATTCATTTTGTTAATAAAAGTTCTATGTTTTATATATAGGCTAAATTGAGTTTGACGTCGTATTTTGTTGTTGCATTCAAGCAATTGACGCTGAATTGCCGCTAATTCGAAAGTGAAAGTAAAATGCGCACGGTGCTTTTAAGCTATTTAAAAGTGAAGGAAAGTGAGGAAAAGAGGGAAAATTCAAACAAACTAAAAACTAACAATTGCTTTTCACCGAATTGCCGCTATTTCAAAGTGAAAGTAAAATGCGCACGGTGCTTTTAAGCTATTTAAAAGTGAAGGAAAGTGAGGAAAAGAGGGAAAATTCAAACAAACTAAAAACTAACAATTGCTTTTCACCGAATTGCCGCTATTTCAAAGTGAAAGTAAAATGCGCACGGTGCTTTTAAGCTATTTAAAAGTGAAGGAAAGTGAGGAAAAGAGGGAAAATTCAAACAAACTAAAAACTAACAATTGCTTTTCACCGAATTGCCGCTATTTCAAAGTGAAAGTAAAATGCGCACGCCGCTTTTGCAAGCTATTTAAAAGCGAAGGAAAGCGAGGAAAAGAGGAAACGCCCCTGCCCCCACGGTGATACTGGTATTATCGGTGTCACACGTCAATTAACCGGTGGGAAAATTTCCTCACCATCACAACCCTACTTCACAACCACAAGAGACTGCGCTTTTATTCCAATGTCCTGCCACTGTCTCAGGTTTGATTTGTAGCAGAGTTGCACCTGCATTAGTAAGTCACATAAAAAGACCGTAACTGCCCTCTAGGGATTAGCATTTTAATAATTTAATAATTAAAATAATAACAGTATGCAATTATATATTAAAATATTAATTGAAAAAAATATATCACTTTCACCATTTAATCATGATTTTGCAGATTTTGCCCCGAAAACTACAGCACAGAAAAAAATCAGCAAAATCCATCTGGGCTTTAAAAAGATTTGGAAATACATGCAGTATACTTTACCCCAGGTAAAAGAGTAGGCACTGCTTCTGCACCGTAACCACTGGCACTTTGGATTTAAAGCACTCGCTTTCTAATGAAGAAACCATCACTAGTACTCCACTGAGCCCCTGACTGTTATTTCAGTTCCATCTGACTGAGCATCAGCACATGATTCCACCGAGTGTCATTTTATCATGTGAAAATCCATCCCTGGGTTAGCTCTGGCTGAGCCAGTAATGGCTGCTTCTCTCTCTGTGCCAGCTCCCACTGCCGAGCGCATCCATTCCCCCATAGGGAAATGACACAGTGTGAATTAGGGACAGATTACACTCTCACTGACCACATGGCTTCCTGTTGGTCTTCTCTCGCCTACTCAGGCGCTTTTATACTCTTCTTTCATGAAACTAAGACTTTGAATGTGTGAAATAGCAAAATTACTAGCAAAAAAGCAAACGTATTCATTTACTTTTACTCTTAAAGTCGACA